TAATCGCTACTTTGCGAGAGTGCTCCGCTTTTGTAATCATTCTTATTTTATTTTTGAAGACAGCCAACGATTCTTAGTGTTTCATTCTCCTAACTGCCCGTATTCATGTTAAAATTTGTGAGTTGATTTCAGTGTTTATTTGAAACTGTAAATTTTTCAATAAAGGAAAATAACATCAAATTATTTCGCATTGTTCTAATGTGAACCTCGGATTGTAAACAATGAATTTGATTGATGGAATCCGATTAAAAACCCACAATAGAATGATAAACGAATTCGTAATTGAGATTGAGGGTGACTGGAGAATGGCGTTGTTTTACAGTAAGCTGCGTTCAGTTCTTTTTTTTATTGCTTAGATTTATGGTCGAGTTCACAGCCCACCTGGTGTTAAGTGGTTATTGGAGCCCATAGACATCTACAACGTAAATGCGCCACCCACCTTGAGATTTAAGTTCTAAGGTCTCAAGTATAGTTACAACGGCTGTCCTTTTTTTTTTTTTTTCGGGCCGTGGGCCGAACCTCCTACGAGGTCCCCGCGCATACGGGGCGCGGGGGTATGTGAAACTCAACGATCTGCAGGTGTTGAGAGCAGATCGCGGGCCCAAGGACTTTAGGGCCCACCCACTAAACGACTCCCCTGCACTCTTACACCCGATGTCCGATCCTCTCCGAGGTCAGAACCCGGATGAGGTAGGGGGGTTACCACGGTCAACACTACAACCAGACGGCGCGGCTCACCCCAAGGACGCCCAGCCGACGGAGCCTTCGAGGCGAATCGAAGGCTCTGAAACGTCGGCCGTCTCGGTACGGCAGCCCGTCAGGCCGCCCAGACAGTGCCGCTGGTGTCCCGGAATACCCCGCTGGACCAGAACCAGCCGGCCGGGTCGGGACGCGATACACTGCCAACCGGTCGCTCTTTCGTAACTCCTTGGCAGCGCGCTAGAGTGCTGGTAGCGCGGCCTCTACCCCCTCAGGTCGCCCCTTGACATTCACCGGGGACAACGGCTGTCCTACCCTTCAAACCGAAACGCATTACTGCTTCACGGCAGAAATAGGCGGGGTAGTGGTACCTACCCGTGCGGAATCACAAGAGGACCTACCACTAGTAATTACGCAAATTATAATTTTGCGGGTTTGATTTTTTGACCAGTAAAAAAAGAGGATTTTATCAATAGATTTTTAACCGTTCGAATAGTTTTCGACAAAATTATTTATCCAAATTCTCCAGTTTCTCGTCTCGTTACTAGAAAAATAAAATTTGACGAGTATGAGATTTTTCTCATTTTTATTAAATTTATTAAATTAAAAAATGTTTCCAATGTTTCATTAATACCACTAATGCTTGTCAATAGGTACCAGACAAAAAAAAGTTTGTAGCAGCTTGAATTATTTCAATTTTTTCTAAGAATCGCTTTGGAGATCAATAAAATACACGCAATAATAATAAAAACAGGTTCAATGTAACTTTGAAAATTAAGAAACAAAGAAAAAAACGGGTTATTATAAACGGCCATAATAGATACAGAAAATACATTTAGAAAACAAGAACAAATATATCCAGACTTCAAAGGCTTAAAAACCTGAGACTAAGAACTCGTGTCTCAAAGTGGGTGGCGGCTTTGTTGATATCAATAGGCCCCAGTAACCGCTAAATACCGTGTGGGCTGTGAGAGCCCTTCTAAGCAACAAAAAAGTATCTCTGACTAAAATAGACTACGACTGAAAAGCGAACCTTAATTTCAGGAAAAATGCTCGTTAAGATCAACCAACTGCTAGATCTATGAAGCTGTCAATTACCTTTTCTTTGCAGGTTACAGTTTAAGTTGCGATTAAAGTAATTAATAAAACATCATCAGCACCTGTCCACTATACAAGTAAGTCCGGTTTTCCCTCTACTTCGCTTATTCTCTTCATAGCAGGCAGCTCGGTTTTTTTACTTTGTTTAATCCCTTCATATCTTCCTTTTGTTCGCCGTCGCTCGTTCGGATTGTTGAACATAAAGAAATCTTGATTGAAATATGATACTGAAAAGAATGAATAAGAAACGTGTCTCTGAACAGGATAATGAATGAAATCGCCGTTCAATCTTTTAAACATTCATTTAAAACCTGGATCCTCCCCGAAGACCGATCGACCGAACAGTGAGTTTCATAAATGAAGATGCGACGACCGTTAAAATCGCACGCTTGAATGTACATCGTGACAGCGAGATGTAATACCTACCTGGGGCCACGAAGATATATTGTCACTAGATTGTGTTTTAATCGTCGTCAAAAATTTTAATGTCCCTGACTACATTTATTTATTTATTAAATACTGCTTTGGTATTTATCGCACAGTTAATATAAATATTTTTCGAAATATTTGTGGAAATATAAGGTATTGGCTTGCACTAATTCCAGTGTAAGCAGTGGAACCGCTGTGAATGGGTACACTGCGTAAGAATAAAGAATTATGTACTAGCCTGTATTTAGAATTCTACTAAAATGTAACTGTTCCTTGTCATTCTAGGTCTTTGTAGAGAAGCATTTCATATCGTAGTCTTGCACGCGTCGGCATTCCCGAACCTCTGGGGAGGATCTACGTGACGAACGCCGTACCTAAAATATTTGTTCTATTCATTGCTTGTATATTAAAATGTACGCTATTCAGTGTCATTAAGGACGCTTTTCGAGTTTTTTATACGACTGTGTTTTAAATATTTGGAGTCTTTCTAAAGCTTAGTCTTATTAATTATGTTATGTATTATAGTATTGTAAATATATAAAAAAAGAAACTATGAGAAATTGTTCGTAATTTCAGACTGAAATAGAATTTCACACTTTAACCTGATTTATTTAACTTGGGTCTCTTCCTTCCAATTGGATATTGTTATTACAAAAAATGATTACAATTTTTGAAGTTTCTTTAGGCGCGTTATGAAAAATTGATGAGAGTGAAATTTTACGATGCGCGCGCACCGTGACACAAAATTAACAGAAATGAAGTTGCCCACTAATTCGCTCATTACAATACGACCGACGTAACTTGGCGAGTCTGAATATAGCCGCAGGTAAACTTTCGCGCATGTACACTCGTAAAAAAAGTGTTATTAGCATTCATTTTTTAGTAATATAAATGACAAAATTATTATTTAATATAATTCATAGTAAATATTATTAAATTATTAACGTTAAATATTTATTATTAATTATTTAATATTTAAAAAAAAAAGAAATAAATTTAATAAAAATAAAGTATAATTTCTTCCGCGCGTACATAAGTACACGCACCCCTTTTTTTATATATATATTCTAAACAACATTTCAATAAGAGTACAAAATATATTAGATATTGAGCCTAGAAAAGTTGGAAACAACGATAAAACTAAATTGAAATATTCAAGTGGATATCTGCTCTTGATCTATTTCCAATCACGCCAACGGCACGTCTTTAAATGAAGCCGAACAGAAGTGATCAAGAAAACCCACGTACGATCTGTTTTAATTGGTATCGTACAAGTCACTGACTATGTAAATTAAAGTACTTTCCCGATTTTCTAAGGAATCCCACTATTTTAAGGCCACCTCCTACTTAATTCCTAAATTATCTGCATAATGATCCAAATTTTCTCGAAGATTCTTTAGAGATCTTGAACTAGAAATAGAGCTTGACACATAGCTCTTGAGAGTTAATAACATCTTGGGATTGAATTAAATTAGGTCATTCCATTCAAAACACTCTATCAGTCCCAGAAAGATATACGCTTTGTACTCAAACTTATTTTAATCGTCATTGCGGACCCAAAGTGGATGTTGTCCTCCGAAATTAGTTAAGATCCACCACTGTACACCGATGTCATATTTTCATTGACATATTCCATATTCCCAGCAGAATTACTTGTATAGTAATGTTCAAGTGAATTTCGGTAAGTACGCATTAAGAAAGGCTAATGTTAACGGTGATATTATTCTATAGATTAATAGTCTATCAACCCACTTATAAAGTCCCCCAATGTCGTAAAGTTATTATCATTAATTGATCGATTCCTGCAAAACCTTGTCGAAAGCGTATTTCATGAACACCTCCGTTATTTTTCAAGGCTTATGTATTCCACCGAAAAAAACTTAGGTAGGTAACAAATTGATAGCCTAATATGATTTACAAATTTTACATAATTTCTCGATCTAAGCGTAATTAAGTTTCTAATTGAAACGAATCTAGTTATTTCCAAACTAACTTTGCTAAAAAGGTTTTCTTTAAAATGAAGTCAAAAATAAAACTAGTTTCCTTCGCACATTACGGCAGAGCATGTTAGTACTAGTCGGATATCCGATACGGAAATTGGAGAATTTTAATCAAGATAAAAGGTGTAAAAGATCTCGTAAATACTGCAAGTTTCCCTCTACTGGATGACTTTAGTTAATTAATTTGAAACTGCAAACGTATGCGTGTCCATAATGAAACTTTCCACGAAATATTTTTCAAAGACTTAATATTATGATTTTATTCATGAGAACCAAGAATTAAACGACAGCTTAATTAATTGCAGCAAAGGAGTGGGTGTTTTGAACGTAAACAACCAGTCACCCTAATTAAGACCGTGCTATTACTATGAAATCGTCACGAACGAATAAATAAACAGTTAAATTATACAATTTACGGAGACCAAAACTTCAAATTAAATTTCAACGTGCGGACTTTATGCTAATTCCGCGGTCGATTATAAGATCAAGTTGAGTGTGAATTACTGTCGTTCTTTATAAGAAAAAGGCGGGCCTCGTTATCCCGCCTTGTTGTTCTCGGGGTGATTACATTGCCAGAGAATCCCCTCGGCGCTTTTCTCGTACCTTCAACGGGCGGTCGGCGGTTTTGCAATTTACTTCGAACGGGCAATGAGAAAAATTTGCGGTGATGCGCGCGGTAACATCCCGACGGACGGAATGGCGGGCGCGTGCGCGCTGGCGACGCGGCCCGACTCGTCCGCCAGCGCCGCAGTCAACGCCGCGGCGCGCTCCGAGGCGATAACTCCGCGCCACCCGCGCCCCCGCCTTTACACCCGCGCCCTCACGTCAAAATAAACTAATTGATTTACGGAAACAACTTTATACAGTGCTACTCTCAACTTTCACCAACTCCCTGACTCTTGGAGATATGATTCCGTAGTCTCTAAATCAACGGGTACGTCATCAAACTTTCTTTAGAACTGTTGTTTACGTAAGTTGTTTGCTTGAAAATGTGCACTTTGTATGAGATGAACGATGAATGTCGTGCCTCTATTCTTGGAAGTGTTACCAGCTGACTAACGGTGAATTGATGGTGGATTCTCTTTTTAAATTCGTATGAATATAACGAAATTCGCTGTGGCAACATACATACATCACATGTGACAACATGTGCAAATTTTGATAAGATTTTATTCTCTTCATTCAAAGGATACTTTAATGGGAATTTATGTACTTATCGTTTCTTTTCTTCGGTTAGCGGGTAATTTATCACTAGACCATCTCTCGCAAATAAATCGCAATCTCTCCTCGATCCTCGAGTAATACTGTATTATTAGGCGCCTGAACGTCCGGAATAATTTTGATAAATTAGATGTCAATAGACTCTTAAAGATCCCTCCGATAAAGCTCCCTCATAGAAAGTAATCTCTTCGAATTGATCCTTCGGTGTCCTTTTTATTAGACTCATTACTGAAGCTCTAACTAACTGTTTGAAGATTATTTTATTTAATTACCCTGCCGTCTTTAAATGAAAAGATTGATAGCAAAATAAGGGGATTTATAGACTTTCAAAAAGACAAGATAATTAATCGTTGCGTCACTTTTTAGGAAAATATCCAGAACTGAACACTAATTTGTCTCAGCACCAAATATGAAATTATGTATATTATTTACCATGTCACGTGGATTCATCCTCAATCTACAACTTCTATTGATTTTTCGAGTAAAAAGGCGCGACCCACGTGTTATTATGTTGTTACCAGTTAACAAAGAATCTTAACTGTACCTATATAAAACGGCAGTGGTACCGTTCAAAGCGTAACAGGGTTGCTTCGCGGCTAAAATAAGTACCTATTAGGCGTACTTACTCAACACATCACCGGTAACTAAGCCCATAGACACAGCCCACTGAGTTTCTCGCCGGATCTTCTCAGTGGCTCGCGTTTCCGATCCGGTGGTAGATTCTGCGAAGCACTGCTCTTGCTAGGGCCAGTGTTAGCAACACTCTCAGTTTGAGCCTCGTGAGCTCACCTACACGTCAAAGGCGAAGCTGAAATAGCCTCTCAAGGCTATCAGCATAGGTAGAAAAAATAAAATGAAAAGGTAGCTTAAGTTTTAATGGTTTTCTAAATATTTCAAGTTTATTTTTAGCATTCCCGAAATAAGATGAGTGATTTTTGTTTTCATTCAACCAATCGAACAACCTAGAATAGAGTAATTGGCTATTGAATACATATAATGAAATAATCTGGATTTCAAAAGAATGTGTATGACAAATATAGAGGTATAAAATAATTATATCGACAGGGGAAAGGCTATTTAGCTTAAGCAGTATTTCGCTCAATACGCGACATTTATCTAAAGGATAAAGACGTCCGGTGCATTCGTAATGAGCGATGCACCGGTATTCGAATCCCAGGCGGGTACCAATTTTTCTAATGAAATACGTAGTCAACAAATGCTCGCGATTGACTTCCACGGTGAAGGAATAACATCGTGTAATAAAAATCAAACCCGCAAAATTATAATTTGCGTAACTACTTATTGGTGGTAGGACCTCTTGTGAGTCCGCGCGGGTAGGTACCACCACCATGCCTATTTCTGCCGTGAAGCAGTAATGCGTTTCGGTTTGAAGGACGGGGCAGCCGTTGTAACTATACTTGAAACCTTAGAACTTATATCTCAAGGTGGGTGGCGCATTTGCGTCGTAAATGTCTATGGGCTCCAGTAACCACTTAACACCAGGTGGGCTGTGAGCTCGTCCACGCATTTAGATGCTTTTTTTTATTTATTGCTTAGGCAATAAATAAAAAAAAGTTGCGTCTTATTCGGTATGCAAATGCAAAAAGCTGTAGGTGCTTTTCTGTTATGATATTTTTTCCAAATATTAAGCTGTAAATATCTGTAAAGTTGCAAAAATGTCGCTTAAAGCAAATAGCCTTTTACACAATCATGTTGTGGAGTACTTCTGACTCATATGCCTTGCTAAAAAAAGAGAAGAACGTTGAGATATACCTTGTAGAGAGCTCGTTGGCTTGTGGAGAGTATTGAGCGGTAGGCAGCGGCTTGGCTCTGCCCCTGGCATTGCTGAAGTCCATGGGCGACGGTAACCACTCACCATCAGGTGGGCCGTATGCTAGTCTACCTACAAGGGCAATAAAAAAAAAACCTATTTCAATAAAAGAATTAACTATACTAATATTTGTAATAAAAAAAAATCTTCAACACTTTAGCTTTTAATCATATTATTTTTCTTTAAGTGAATCCGTCGCACGCATTACCCGCTTAACGACAACATGTTACAGACGACAACACATAATTTTTAATTAAGTTAACATCAAAACTCGTCACGTTCCCGTCAACGTTTATCCGACAATGGGTAAATCCGGGCGGTTTTCGTAAATAAAGAGCAATTTAAGTAAAACAATGACATTACGGGCACAACATACGACTGATATTTACATGCAAAATAGGAACAGGTGTATTTTCATTCGAGTGGCCTAATTGAGAAGATTCAAACGGAAATTACCCACTTCCATTAACTAAATTAAATTAATGTTTTTACACAAACGAAGGCTTAGTGTGCGTGCGTTAATTAATGTCGCTTCTTAATGAGACCAAAGTAAAGTATTTTTGAACACTGAAATTTTAATGAGTGGGGTTGTTGACACTGTTTATACACGGGCGTTTTCTATCGTCCAACTCATGATTTGAATAAGTTGACAGATATTCTAAAGGTAGATTAGGGAAATATAAAGAGTCGTAATATGAAGGTATAGTGGTCTAAAGAATAAGGCGGTTATTCTGATATCCCAAATATTCAGTGTGCTCGTATTAAGCAATGTGACTGTTCCAGTACTGAAATCCCTCAATCAGGTGCCAATTCTAAGAAAGTAATACGTGCTTAACAAGTGTTCACGAAAGACAATCATGATAAACTAATAACATCGGATAATGAAATAAACCAGCAAAATTTAAGCGTAGTTGTTGGCGTATTGCAAACTAACACCGATGAGTACCATAATGCTACTTTTTTCTGCCGTCAAGAGTCGTGCAATCGATGCGGAGCTTAGGATTTTAATTTACTGGTAGTAGGACCTCTTGTGATTCCGCACAAGTAGGTACCACCCTGCCTATTTCTGCCCTGAAGCAGTAATGAATTTCGGTTTGAAGGGTAGCCGTTGTTACAACTGTGTGTATACTGAGACCTTAGAATTCATATCTCAAGATGGATGGCACAATTTACGTTGTAGATGTCTTTGGGCTCCGGTAACCACTTAACATCAGGTGGGCTGTGAGATTGTCCACCCATCTACGCAATAAAAAAGGACAGATGCTATGTAATACATGATGAGATTATCATGTCTTGTCTCAAGATATTCACCGCCCTCTTAACACCAGTGAGCTTGTTTAAAATAAATTTACAACGTTTTTACTGAACTGTGAGCTCGAAAAAGTTAGGATAAATCATTCAGTCAAGTCTAACTGAGGCTATTGTAATGCAATGAGAGTTTGACCTCATGGATCCAAATAGACAGCAGTATTCGTATTTTATCGTAAGGACGTAGGTTCCCGATTGTCGATTAAAATCATATTTTCCGTGAAATCGGTATCTATGCTAATACCTATATTATAAAGCTGAAGGGTTTGTTTGTTTGAACGCGCTAATCTCAGGAACTACTGATCCGATTTGAAAAAATATTTTAGTGTTAGATAGCCCATTTATCGAAGAAGGCTATATAACATCACGCTAAGGCCAATACAAGCGGAGCACCAACAAAGAATGTTTCAAATTCGGGCTTTTTTTCCCTTTTGAGAGCTTCCGCTGCGTGCGCTGCAGAAATGGTTAAAGTTTCACTAAAATAATGTATGACTGAATTGTTCCCCTTTAAAAGATCTAAAAAAAAGACCACAACAAGATATGTCTATATGTTAAGGTTAGCTCACTATGCAACCTTTTTATGCTAACCAAATTTGTTCTAAAATAAAGCATTATTTGTAAACTATTCCACGCGGACGAAGTCGCAGCCAAAAGCGAATCTAATAATAAATCGATAACAGACCTCTTGTTTGTTTTCTTCATATTGAATTATTACATCGTTTAGGATACTACGAATACAATAGAAGTCGAATGTGACAAAAAATAATATAAAATTATTTTTTCTTTCCCCGTCAGTATCGGTTTTATAAGTAGATACTGGTTGAGCGTTTACTTCGCCTTTCGTGAGTCTTAGACATAATAATTGATACCACTTTTACGGTTCGATCTATTATTTTTGACGTTTCTAATACTTTAAAATTTTCGTACAAATCTGAACGTTTACATTTGAACATTGTACGAACTATCTTATTATAGATGGTACTGAGTTTATGGTAATCGACGCGTTGGAAATAAGAAAATGAAAACATTAAACGCGAAATTAATCCAATAAAGTATTATAAGTATTTTTATTAAAGTATTATAAGTTTTTGAAGTCGTTGTGGCCTAACGGATAAGACGTCCGGTGCATTCGTGTTGAAGCGATGCACCGGTGTTCGAACCCCGCAGGCGGGTACCAAATTTTCTAATGAAATACGTACTCAACAAATGTTCACGATTGACTTCCACGGTGAAGGAATAACATCGTGTAATAAAAATCAAACCCGCAAAATTATAATTTGCGTAATCACTGGTGGTAGGACCTCTTGGGAGTCCGCACGGGTAGGTACCACCACCCCGCCTATTTCCGCCGTGAAGCAGTAATGCGTTTCGGTTCGAANTAGGACCTCTTGGGAGTCCGCACGGGTAGGTACCACCACCCCGCCTATTTCCGCCGTGAAGCAGTAATGCGTTTCGGTTCGAAGGGTGCGGTAGCCGTTGTAACTATACCTGAGATCTTAGAACTTATATCTCGAGGTGGGTGGCGCATTTACGTTGTAGATGTCTATGGGCTCCAGTAACCACTTAACACCAGG